ACCAAGTAAAGTACCAAGTAAAGTACCAAGTAAAGTACCAGGTAAAGTACCAAGTAAAGTACCAAGTAAAGTACCAAGTAAAGTACATGTACCAAGTAAAGTACATGTACCAAGTAAAGTACCAAGTAAAGTACCAAGTAAAGTACCAAGTAAAGTACCAAGTAAGTAGCCTGCACACATTTTGCCGCCTTTATGAGGCTAACATTTTTGTACTGGCTATTCATGAGTATACAAGACAATTGTGAGGCATGCTGACAAAATGAGTTACTTCTCACAATCCACAAAAGCAGATATTGGCCAAAATCGACACTAGGGACAAATTTCTAGGTTTTCTATTGATGCAATATTCATTAAGTACTAAATGCCTTTTGTTATTTCATACTTACAGATTGAAAAAAACTTAACCTATAAGCGTGATAATGTATATATTTTCATAGGGCTCAAATCCCAGAGGTAACTCATTTTATCAGCACGCTTCACAATTGTCTGTACAGACGGCCATTTCCCATTTCGTCCCCAGTGTATTTTTCAAACAATATATCGACACTGTGTAATACGCCCACTTTGTCTATAATAATCACTTTTTTTCTGGACAATGGAAGGCCGCCATAGACAAATTGTGAAGCAGCGTGGTGATATCAGGCGCTCGTCAAAATAATCAAAGTAAAGAAACTGGCATTTTCAGCAGGTTTGTGAATTTTTAATCGAATTTTAGTTTTTTTGGCTCAACACCTGTCATGCCCATTAAAGAGCACATTTCTGTGTGGATTTTTTTTTTTTAACCACAACCGTTGATTAAAGGCACAAAAAAGTAAAGTTTCAGTTTCCACGGACTCTCAAGCTAAGTAATCAAATCATCTTTGACGGCCATTTTCTCGCTATTTTACCTCTGAAACCAGGTGTCTCCTTAAATAGCAGATATCTCGACTTCTATTCAAGATGATGGATTTTTTATTCATCCAAAGCAAGACATATAAATAAGCTGTCAGGTGATACCAATAACTCCACACGCCAAAAAATTGACAAGTGCCTGATTCCACTGCGTCGTGACACATTTTTACGGTACATGTAATAGCTAGATGATCTAAGGAAACTTGAAAAAAACTATGAACAAGCTTCTCTTGGCTTGTCAGACTACTGTAGTTTGAAATATGGTGCATTGTTGGGATTTTTAGCGGTAGGCCTAAAGCGAACTAGTTCGTCATGCTACAAAAATTAGAACATATCTGAAAATGGGTTGGGGGGGGGGGGTTTACGCACTATGTAAAGCAAAACTATTCTGTGGATTTATCTAAAAATGACTATCAGACAAATTATTTTTGACTTCCAAATATTGTGTACAAATTTGAAACGCAAAACTTCAGTGTGGAGGAAAATATTAACAAAAGAGTTGAACAGGGTTTTGTTTTGTTTGTTTGTTTGTTGTTGATGGTTTGTTTTGTTTGTTTGTTTGTTGTTGATGGGCTTTTTTGTTTCTTGGGGAGAATCACCCTGTAGAATATATTTGAAGAGTTCGAAGAAAGTTACATGGTTAATAATAAGAAAACAGCGCATTCCTTTTCTTTTACCTTTCTTTCCTTGTAATGACGTTCTCTCTCTCTCTCTCTCTCTCTCTCTCTCTCTCTCTCTCTCTCTCTCTCTCTCTCTCTCTCTCTCTCTCTCTCTCTCTCTCTCTCTCTCTCTCTCTCTTTCTCTTTCTCTTACGGGTTTCATGGGTAGATTCTGCGTGCGTCTTCTGCCTGACAGTTTCTTCTACAGAGGGCAGCATGTCCAACCCGGCAAACTGATACATCTCCTTGACGACATGGAGCGGAAGTTGAGCCAGGTCTTCGTAGCGTACTAGCAAGATCCGACCTGAGTAATGGCAAGAAAAGATATAACAGAAATGATATACCACTCGGGAAATGAACACACCTCTTGAAAAATGAAAATACCTTGTGGAAAAATGAATAAACCCCTTGGAAAATGAACATACCCCTTGGAAAGTGAACATACCTCTTGGAAAATGAAAATACCTTGGGGAAAACGAATATACCTCTTGGAAAATGAACATACTTCTTGGAAAATGAACATACCCTGTCGAAAGGTAAACATATCCCTTGGGAAATGGACATACCTCTTGGAAAATGAACATACCCCTTGGAAAATGGACATACCTCTTGGAAAATGGATATACTTTGTGGAAAAGGAACATACCTCTTGGAAAATGAGCACACCCTTGTGGAAAATTAACATAGCCCTTGGAAAATGAACGTGCCCCTTGGAAAATAAACATGAACGAACCTTTTGGAAAATGAACAAACTCCTTTGGAAATTGAACATAGTCCTCCTGTGAAAAATTAACATACCTTTGTGTTTCCCAGATATTCTTTTGAAGGTGGTAAGATCGTTCTGTATCCTCTGACACAAGAAACTGGATTGACCTTGAAAATAAGCTTGACCTCGCGAATAGTGAATGCCTCTCGGGTCCCGGACTAGGTAAATGACCTTCAGATCGGGGTGTTTGTCCAGGTAGCTGTCTGTTTCGTTCATAGTCAGGCGGAGAACCTTCATTACAAGAGACTTTGCTTCCTCGCATCTTTGGGGGGGGGGGGGGGGAGCAAAGACGTGGTATGATTAAGAAAATAATAAGAGACATATACATACATGTATGTACACTTTCTCAGATCTAAAAACACACACTAGCACACACACAAACACAAACACACACACATACATAAATATAAAACACACACACACACACACACACACACACACACACACACACACACACACGCGCGCGCGCGCGCGCGCAAGCACACACAAACACACACATGCACACATGCAAACACACACACACATACATACGTACATATTACGTTTTAAAATGCCTTTTTATCAGCATGTTTTCCAACCTTCTCGAATGATCAGAATGCGAGTCGTCAGTATACTTTGCCTTTTATTTCTTCATACACCCGTATATTGTGTGCCCCAAAACGACTGGGATAAATGTCTTCTACATTTGGCCTCTTGGGTCAACTCTTAAATGTGAGGCGTGCTGACAAAATGAGTTACTTCTCACAATCCACAAATGCAGATATTGGCCAAAATTCGACTCTAGGGACAAATTTCTAGGTTTTCTATTGATGCAATATTCATTAAGTACTAAATGCCTTTTGTTATTTCATACTTACAAATTGTAAAAACTTAACCTGTAAGCATGATAATGTATCTATTTTCATAGGGCTCAAATCCGAGAAGTAACTCATTTTGTCAGCACACTTCACAAATTGTCATAACATATCATGTGTCCCATAACTGCAAACTATCGAGATACATCGACTGTCATAGGCATGTGTGATATAAAAAAAATATATATATAGTAGAGGGTTTTACGGCACTCGCAACTGCATAAGGTCATATGAGCGCCTTACATGTATGATACTATCTATATCCTAACTTTCCAAACAGACTAGTGATATGATAGTGTTTTAAAGGAATATGTTTACAGTTCTGTACCCCGTCATAAAAGTAAAGCCTCTAAAAGTACAGGGTAATGACCCTACCACACCCCACCCCTCCCCCCTCTTGCCTTTGTGCACATTAGTGAGTGCAGCCCGCAGCTGTGTCCTGTTCCTGTAAGACGTAGCGCCAACACTGATGTGACCTCAAGGTGACCCCGAAAGGTGACCCCAAGGTGACCTCCCAAGGTGACCCTCACGGTGACCACAGACTAGTGATGGGCGATATCAGCAATATCGAATTTGATACGAAATCGAAATTTTTCCACAGGAAATATCGATATTTTTCTATTTTTTTCTTTATTACTAAAATTATTATCGATAAATTTAAATTTGCCATCAAATATGTTGATTTATCTATAATTATCGAGTCTGGTCGATGTTTCGAAAATATCGGGCGCGCGAAACACGCTGTCTTCTATTTTGTCGTGGGTTGGGTTTTTTGTGGTTGTTGTTGTTGTTGTTGTTGTTGTTGGGGGGGGGGGGTTGTTGTTGTTGTTTTAATTGATTTTTTATTTGGAGTATTTTTATATGTTTTATTGTGGGGGCAAACAAAACCAGTGAGCTAATTCCTGGAAATGCGATGCTGAGTGGTGGGCATATTAAAATATCAAAATATCAATATTTTTTTCACTGCTTCGATACGATATCAATATGTGTAAAAATATCAATATATCGATATTTCGATTTCGATATGCCCACCACTACTACCCCAGACCACAGTGTCCCTTGACGTCAGTAGTTCTAAACCTGGAGTCCAAGTTCACTTGTCCAAAAAGTCCATAGACTTTTATATAATTCTTTTCAGAAACTCAGCTGGATCGATAAGAACACCATCGCCACCTCCACCTCCACCACCACCACCAACATCAACAACAACAACAACATTGGGTAAATATTCAGACTAGTATTTCTTCCATCATCATATGATCGCTTTTAAGCACAATGGGCTATCACGAAAAATGCTGTTTTGAGAAAATCGAAGGTAAAGATTTTGCCCCTTGTTCAGTTTCTTCAAAAAAAACAAGAAGAGTTTTCTCTATAACCAAACAAATATACACACCCATGAAACCAAACTTCTCCTATAGGTATGGCGATGCCCACTTTTGGTGTAGGTCAAGATTTCTGGAAAAAACCCAAATCTGGGTTAGCCCGCTTGTCCTTAAAAGCGACCAAATGTTTTCCACTCACAGACACACAACCTTGCAGAATGTTAGACGTATTGCCTCTTTCATCAAGATGTTCCATCTCTTTTGATTGCAAAATACTCACGTCCAACTGAATGCAATAACGACAAAATGGAGGGGGGGGGGAGGGGGCGATATTGTTAAGTTATTCCTGAAATGATTCAATGCTTTACCTGTCCAAGACAAGAACTGAACAATCATACTTTTACCCATACGTCCCAACACCCTACCGCTAGAACAAGAAAAATGCTTACCGTGGCTTGACCAGTTCTGCACAAGGCTTTAACTGGGTCTCTTGAATTCGACCAAACGGCTTCCCAAAGGGGCACTGACTTTTTGAGAACGATTCAGACTTCATCACGTAGGCAAGAAATGCCAGGTTGGCTGGTGAGAGGTCACACTGGAACATCCGGTCCAGAAAGTCAAAGGGGGTCACTGGGGTAGGACTGACAGACTTGAAGGCGTCCTTCACTCGACTTCTGAAAAGAGAGAATTTTAAATAGGTGCAAAAACAACGTTACACTACATGTATGTGTCTGAATGAGTGATGGGGTCTGTTTTCTCTCTAAAAGAAATAGGAATGTTACAAATACGGCAAAAAGGACATCCCCATCTCTCTCCCATGTCTTCTTTGTATATTTAATCTCAAATAACACCTGTAATATTCGGCACTTGTATGACTTAATTGCATAGCTTTACTTTACTTTTGGGTGTCGCGGGAAGAAAGAGACGTCTCTCTGTCGCCAGCCGGAGAGCTTGGGTCAGGGGGGTGCCATGAGTTGTTAGTGTTTCCCTGACTCCATCTTTCCAGGTCTTTCTCGGTCGCCCTCTAGCCTTGTTTCATTGCAAGTGCCGTAAAACTCGTACTATAACAAAAAGAAAAACTGTCTAAAGCGTGCACTCGGTACAATCGAGCAGCCCACCTGAGGTCCTCCTGATCCCAGTAGCCTGAATGGTTCATGTCATGGTCGTACAGGTACCAGAGGGGCTCGTAGAAGAAAAAAACTCCAGGGTGTGCCTAGGGGGGGGGGAGGAGAGAGAAAGAGAAAGATAATTTTTAAAACCCACAATATCCACCAATTAATGCTTTGCAAGCTAGATTGAAAAGTGTGTTTTCCATGTATTTTTTTTTGGTAAGGTTTTACAACGCTCGCAGCTGTATAAGGTCGTGTGAGCACCAAGGGGTGGATATCAACACAGAAGTTCTTACAGGGAATAAGACTTACTCTCCACCCCGGAAATAGCGGGTCACAAGAGCGTGACAAACATGCAAAAGAAGTAGAGGAAAAATGACTATAGTAAGGATTAGGAAAGAATAAGCAGCAGTTCCCTGTTGCAGTTCAGGCACAGTTATGAGCATGACATTGATGAATCAGTCCATTTACAATTGCAGTTCTGCTGTGCATAAGAACTCGAGATGTTAATGCCCCTCCGCCCCCTCCTCCCCTCCCAATTGGACTTGCCTAAAGACACTTCAGTCAGTAGCACCGCCCCCCGGGAGGGGGGGGGTATTTCCTTGTATCATCGCCTGTTTTATAAGACGGGCTAATTTTCAAGCAGAGTAGATTTTATAGGAAAATCAGAACTGAATGTGTGCGGCATTGTGGTGAATTAAAGCACTCCTTACAATAATGAAACTGATGATACCGACATTTTCCCGCCCGCTGGGCAATTTCTTTTTGAATTTGTTGTTGTTGTTGCTGTTGTTTTTTATTTGTTTGTTTGTTGTTTTTGTTTGGGGGGTTTTTAGGGGGTCAGTTTTTGGTTTGGCTTTATTTTTTGGTTTGTTTGGTGGGGGTTTTTTTGTTTTTTAAATTGTGATGTGCTTCGGCTCAGCACCTTTTATGTCCATTAAAAGTTATAATTTATTTCTCTGTTGATATTACTAAAACTAAAGAACATAGGAACAAAAAATGTAAATTTGCAGTTTCCAAAGAAACTCAAGCTTAGAAAGTCACTAAACGTTGGCGACCATTTGCTCGCTATTTTTACATCTTTCACGAGGCAACCCCCACACCCTTCACTGGCAAATCCTGAAAGGTGAAAATAGGCTTTGCAATGAACCAATAAATGTCATCGAGGAAATGTTTGCGCTTTTCAAGATGATAGAGGCGTCATGAACACATTCTCATGCTCTGATCCATGTTATCTCGGCCTAGCGAACAAGGAAATGGTACTGTAATAATAATAATAATAATAATAATAATAATAATAATAATAATAATTGCATTTATATAGCGCATATCCATCCTCAAGAGCATGCTCTATGCGCTTTACAACTATTATTACCCCTAGCTGACCCCCTGAGAACACTCAGAAGCATTCTCGGTTTCCGCGGAAGCATACAGTGCAAGCTACGGATTTCACGCTCTCAAACACTATCAAACTGACAAGATACATTTAGCGTATATTCTAGATATTTAAACTGTTGGACTTGATTGATATTTTCACCTTTGCTAATGAGATTACAACTAGGATTTGCTGTTTTCTTTCCATTGAACAATAATCCTTTACGTTCACTTTCTGTTACAACAGTATCTAGAAGCCATTGAAGGTCTTTTTTTCGGAGCCTGCTATTAAAACTGTGTCATCTGCATACCTGATGTTATTAATATTTTCTCCATTTACTTTGAGGCCTGGACATTCTTCTATGGTACCAGTACCAAAAGCCCATGTGGGTGAAAAAAGTAGTCGAGTAATATCCCAAGCACTCGGGTGTTTTAGGCTACAGCGTGTACCCTAGTATTCAAAAATTACTCGAGTGGGTACTCGCAGATGCTATATTTATACTCGAATACTCGAAGGGACACGAGTACTCGCTCACTCCAACTCCAACTTGAAGTTGAACCCCCTGACAAATTCGTCTTCTAAAGTTGGTTAACCTACGTACAAAGAAGAAGATGTGCTTCCCGCCCTAAGTATACATCGGCTGTGACATTGACTCTCCTGTAATCTTCTGTTTTATGAAGGAGAACAAACGCGGCAGAGAAAGAAACAAAATGCTATAAATGTCCGTCAAAGGGTAACATCTGGTGGAGAGAATGTTTTGGCTTAAACTTGAGTGCTTGTTTTCATCCTAGCTGGGCGTTGTTGTTGGGTTTTTTTATGTGTGCGCATGTGTTTGAGGGTGAGTGTGTGTGTGTGTGGGGGGGGGGGTATTTGTGCGAGTGTGAGTGTGTGTGTGTGTGTGTTGGGGGGGGGGTGGTATGTGTGCGAGTGTGAGTGTGTGTGTGTGTGTGTGTGTGTGTGTGTGTGTGTGTGTGTGTGTGTGTGTGTGTGTGTGTGTGAGTATGTGACTGACCTTTCTGTTTTGTTACTTTGATTGTTCATCGGTTTTGTATTCAGATTCGTTTCGACCAGTGTTTGGTTTTTCTTTATATTTGTACCCGCTGGTGTTTGTGGAAAATGTTGTTATTGTCCTCGGTAAGGCGAAGTCTTGTTGTTGCTTTTTTTTTCAATTTTTTTGGTTTGTTTGTTTGTCTATTGTTTTGATAGACCAGGGGTCATTTTGCCCCCCCCCCCCCCCCCCACCCGGGTGGGTTGTATTCTTCACCTTTCAGAATACTTCTAGTACGAAGATCTCTTTGAAACTTTCCGTATTTTTCTAAAAATGATTTTGATAGACTGCTTGCAAAGCGTACGGATCGGATTAACGAGTAAATTTCCTCTTTGGAAAGTGGTGGCACAGAGTTCCCCACGTCGTAGGGATACGATAGTAAAACACGACGTACGGATAGGGTTAAGGAGAGAGTAAGATAGTAACCTTTAATCAGAAACGTGGACGTTTAATTAAGGGTGGGGGCTACACCCCCAAAATCAAAATTCGGCTCAAAATCATGGAATTTGAGTTGTAGGCATTTTTAGCTTTCTCAGCCTCTCCTACAACTATTTCATGGCATAAGAACCCCCCAAAACCGTAATTTTTCCCGTACTAGGCATGTTTGTAACCGCCATTTCCTCATGAAGTCAGTATTTTATTTTTCTTTATCGGCCGTTTTCTCAAAATGCGACTTTTCTCTATACTTTTTTGAATAACTCCACCATTTTTCTTCCAATCTTCATGAAATTTTCACAGAATGAAGAGAAGAGGTAATAAAAAAAATTTTGTCTGTTGAATTTTTGATATATGGAATAGATTTTTGTTGGTGGTGTCTGGAGTGTGGATTTTCACGGATTTTTCGCAAACTTGAATGCTACCTGAGGAAAAAAATCATTAAAAAATTTTTTTTATTCGATTAGGAAAAAAACAACAGACACATTTTTAGACCTAATGTTTGTGAACACGCATGCAAAAAAACAATCAATTTACATGAGCGATAAGTGCGGTATTCATTACGTAAAACATGTCAATAAAATCAAATATGGCGCGTATCCATGGAAACGAAACTTTTTTTTCAAATTCCAAGACTCCTTACTATGCTTGTTATTTGTGTGAAATTTGGTAAAATTCGGTCCAGTAATAAGCGAGATAGCCTCCAGGTGTACCCCCCCCCCCCCCCCCCCCCCCATTAAGAAAACAAAACTTCTAAAAAGCTACGAGCATTTATCCACAGCTGCTTTTAGCTAAGAGTACAGAAAAGCATATCGAGAAAATACTTATCCTTAATTAAATTTAGTTCGAAAGCTTCTTATGAAAATAACTTTAAAATACATAAATACATTAACGACACACCATAATAAGACAAACAACAATTGAAGAAAATAAATCAATAGAAAATAGCAGACGCAGAAAATGGAAATGAATTGGACATTACTTGAGAAAACTGAAAACAAAGATTATTCACCAAGCCTTAATTGGTCGATTTTAAGCACAGATGGGCTATCCCGGATTATTGTGCTGTTTTGGGAAAATCGAAGGTAAGGTTTGTGCCCCTTGTTCAGTTTCTTTAAAAGATAAGGAGAGTTTTCTCTATAACCAAACAAATATACGCACCGATTAAACCAAACTTCTCCTATAGGTAGGGCAATTCCTATTTTGGTGTTCGTCAAGATTTCTGGAAACCCCCGAAATCTGGGTTAGCCAGCTTGTCCTTAAAAGCGACCAATTTAGAGCCCATATTTAGGCTGTTATCTCAGTTTGTTAGGATATTTATTTGTAGTATCAGTTTGCTACATATTTGGTTGTTACATCTGTCTGGTGCATTAGTAGTTTTTTAAATGTTATTTAATTAGTTTGCCAAATGTGTTTGTTATAATACTGCTTTTTATATTAGTTTGGTACACTAGCGTGTTACGCAAAACTCTGACATGTGGCTCTCGTGGCCAAGAGGTTAAGGTGTTGGCCTCTCATTCATAGGTCCCGGGTTCGAATCCGGGTAGCGACCGAAACATTTTTTTCTCTAAAATTGTCTTTCACCTCCTTTTCTGCTCTTTAGCAAAGTTCTGTCGTCTGCTTTCGCCTCCTCTTTCTGCCCCCACCCCCTTACCTCCTTTGCCCCCTCCTCTGGGCTCCTGACTCTTTCTGGAGCTTTTCTACTGCTACTCCTTGGCTCCTTCCAACTGCTGTCTTTCAGCCACTCCCCTGATCTTCTGGTAGGAAAGATCTACACCTAGCCTTCTCAGAGGTCCCGTATGCAAGTTGCGCACGTTAAAGAACCCTTGGTGGTCTAAAATCGATAAGAGTAGGCTTCGGCCGCCCCCCGAGCAAAATTCAAAATTTTCTACCTACTGAAAAAGTTTAAAGTGTCCCGCGCGCTCATATGACCTTATGCAGTTGCGAGCGCTGTAAAACACTTACAAAAAACAACAACTCTTGACTAAACTAAAACAGACATTTCGTCACCTGAAAGAGGTCACCAGTCAAGGTTGAGCCGCTTCTCATGTAGGAATGTATCAAAATCTTTACTTGCTTCTGAGGTGCTGTCTTTAACACTGGGAACCAGACGACGAAAGTCATTAGGTTTGAAATAAAACACGGAGCTGACAGGTAATATAATTCATAATGTGAGAACAGTTTGTATTATTATGATCTCTGAAAACGGGATTTTGTTGTTGTTGTTGGTGGTGGTGGTGGGGTTTTACTGTCATTGTGTGTGTGTGTGTGTGTGTGTGTGTGTGTTTGTGTGTGTGTGCGCACGTGTGTGTGTGTGTGTGTGTGTGTGTGTGTGTGAGAGAGAGAGAGAGAGAGAGAGAGAATGTGTGTATGTGTGTGTGTGTGTGTGTGTGTGTGTGAATGTGTGTGTGTGTGTGAATGTGTCTGTGTGTGGAGAGGGGGGGGTCTATCTAATATCTATCTATCTATCTAATATCTATCTATCTATCTATCTATCTACCTAGCTAGCTAGCAAGCTATAAATCTCTGTCACTATTACTACTACTACTACTACTACTACTACTACTACTACTACTACTACTACTACTACAACTACTACAACTACTACTACAACAACTACTACTACAACAACTACTACTACTCAAACACTCACGTGTGACAGGCCCCAGTCTGCTACCCTCCACCACCAGGATCTCCAGGCTCCTGTCCTGGCGATACATGAACCCAGTGAGCGCCAGACCACACAACACTGCCACGGCCACCTTAGCAAGGCTTCTCATTTTCGTCACCCCTTGCATCTTTCTACTGAAAAAGAAATGAGGAAATTGAACTTGACATCATTATAAATTCATTCTTAGAATTACAAAGTTCTGTCTGAACATTTTTAGCCGTTTTATCTTGTAGCGTATGTTGTAGCGTATCTTGTAGCGTATCTTGTAGCGTATCTTGTTGTAGCGTATCTTGTAGCGTATCTTGTAGCGTATCTTGTTGTAGCGTATCTTGTAGCGTATCTTGTAGCGTATCTTGTAGCGTATCTTGTAGCGTATCTTGTAGCGTATCTTGTAGCGTATCTTGTAGCGTATCTTGTTGTAGCGTATCTTGTAGCGTATCTTGTAGCGTATCTTGTAGCGTATCTTGTAGTGCATCTTGTAGCGTATCTTGTAGCGTGTCTTGTTGTAGCGTATCTTGTAGCGTATCTTGTAGCGTATCTTGTTGTAGCGTATCTTGTAGCGTATCTTGTAGCGTATCTTGTAGCGTATCTTGTTGTAGCGTATCTTGTAGCGTATCTTGTAGCGTATCTTGTAGCGTGTCTTGTAGCGTATCTTGTAGCATATCTTGTAGTGTATCTTGTAGTGTATCTTGTAGCGTATCTTGTAGTGTATCTTGTAGTGTATCTTGTAGCGTATCTTGATGTCGTTCTGTATTGGTTCACAATCAATACCGGGCATCTAAAGGAGTCCATTACAATACCTATCCCCGCGGTTTTATGCAAAACAAATTCTGAAATTATGCAAACTGAGCCCAAAAATGTGAAATTATGCGATTTTGTTAATTTTAACAAAGAATGATCAAGGAAAATAATTATAAAATTATGCCCCAAAAATGGTTAAATTTTGCTAAATTATGCGGGGGTGCATAAAACCACGAGGGCAGCAATACGCACTAGATCTATATCCAATTGCTGCAACTCGGAGAAAAGCTTCTTTAAAAACTTAATTCTTTAACTAAAAAAGAGTAAACGATACGCAATGTTGTCATCATACCAGAAATCGCATTATGTTACACAATAGTTCAGTCCTCTCTGTGAACAATTTTAAAAAGTCCTCAAATTCTTTAAAAATCTCCGGTGACATGCCCCACCTGAGCATTTCTGCCGATTTGAAGTAGGGATGGGTAGGTAAAGGTACCCAGTGCCGGAACTCCCGGTTCTACCGAAGTCGGTGTCAGTACCGGCACCAGGCCTCCAGTACCGGCTCTGGGAAGGAGCCGGCGCGACGAGGGTAAGAGGGAGGTGGGGGGGGGCACAGGGGGAAAGGAGAGGAAGAGGGAGTGGAAGGGGACGGGGGACAGAGGGCGGAGACAGGAGAGAAGAGGAGCGAGAGAGGGAGCAAAGGGCAGGGGGGGGGGCTGAGGGGGCGGCGGGAAGGAGGATGAAGGGCTAGGGATCCAATTCAGGGAGGTCCGAGAAAGTACCGACTCTGGATTTCACCGGTACCGCCCAACACTAATTTGAAGTCTCCAGAAGCGAGTCCGAGTGTAGAGGCGTACAATGTAAGTGGTCGAGCATTCGTGCTTTGGCGAGTCCCTGTGTTTGGCAGACACCGAACTGTTGTCCCCGTGGCTTTCTGCACCCCGCATAATTTACCAAAATTTGATAATTTTTGGCATAATTTCAAATTATTTTCCTTTATCGTTCTTTGTTAAAATTAACAGAATCGCATAATTTCACTTTTTTTTGCTCAGTTTGGATAATTTTACAATTTTTCTTGCATAAAACGACGGGGACAGACAATAGTTTAGTCCTCTTTATGAGCAATTTTTTTTTTTAACGGTCCTCAAATTATTCAAAAATCTCCGGTGGCATACCCCACCTGAGCATTTCTGCGGATTTGAAGTCTCCAGAAGCGAGTCCAAGTGTAGAGGCGTACATTGTGAGTGGTCGGGCATTCATGGTTTGGCGAGTCCCCGTGGTTTTAAGCACCTCGCATAATTTACGAAAACTGGGTCATTTTTAGCATAATTATTTTCCTTGATCATTCGTTGAGATAAAATTAACAGAATCGCATAATTTTTTCTGCATAAAAAGACGCGGACAAACCGATCATTTTGAACAACGTATTTACAATGTCCACGCGTCCAAAGGCCGACATGTACATCACTTGTTCTAAGGAAGAATTCCACAATGACAATTATGCTTATTCTTTAACTCAGAAAGAGAAATGAAATGTCACTGTTTATATCTCACAGGAGTGAAAAAATAAAATTCAAAGAGTAAGGAAAGAAACAAAATCAAATCTATCGTCTGTTTCTTTAGTTTGTGTATTTTGCTTTTTTTTTTCATTATGTCATTTCAGTTTCTATTTTTTAAAACCTGTTTTTTAATGGATAATATATTATGTCAAACAAATTCCGTTTGAATGGATTACGTATGTTCCAAATTACAATATACTAGAACAATTATCATGCGAGATATTGAGAAGAAGAAAAAAAAACCCTCTGCAAAGCTACTTTTTGATCACCGTGTATAAGGACAAAAACGCATAATTAATCATCATCATCATCCAGTGCCAGATCTGCGACAGACATCGGCGATCATGGTTTTCCATTCATTCCTTTGCTTGGATGCTCTCAAAAAAGCTACGTTTCCCTGACCTTTCTCGGTTACCCATTCGTTTAGGTTCCCTAGGTATGTTGTTCTGGGCCTACCCCTGCCTCGCTTGCCCTCAATTTAATAATTAATAATAGAATCAAATACCCGGTAACATTTTGAGTCAAACACAAAAACTTACCTCACACAAGACGTTCTATTGGTTCTAACAGATGCACCTCACCAAACAAACTGTATCGATATGGGCGAAAAACATCGACGATAGCAATAGAAGTTACAAATGCACACTGCAGGCGGTTAGCCCTCATGTAAAGAAATGTCCTCGTTAGTTTCCCTGCGACAACTGTTTCAGAAGAATATTATTGGTCTCTCTCTCTCTCTCTCTCTCTCTCTCTCTCTCTCTCTCTCTCTCTCTCTCTCTCTCTCTCTCTCTCTCTCTTTGTGTACTCTGTCGTCAGTGACATCGGCGGTCTCCGCTCTTGTTCCCCGTCACGTGACTACCCATCACTTTCCCAAGCTGCTGTCTCCTTGGACGAAAATGTGAAAGACGTAAAGGTGTGTTCGATTTTGTTTTCGAGGGGAGGGAGGGGACTGAGGGGGAGGGGGGAGAAGGGAAGAGGAAAGGTAAGAGGGGGGTGGGGCTGAGGGAGAGAGTGTGGTGGGAAGGGTGAGGGTAAGAGGGAGGTGCTGAGGGGGGAGGGGGCAAAGGGGGAAAGAAGAGGAAGAGGGGATGGAAGGGGACGGGGGACAGAGTCGGGAGATATGAGAGAGGGGGAGGGAGAGGGACCAAAGGGCGAGGGGGGGGGCAGCGGGAATGAGGATGAAGGGCTAGGGGTCCAGTTCAGGGAGGTCCGATTTCTGGATTATAATAAGTTTCCTATTTGTAAGGCTCTAGTGCATTATAGTGCAGTCAAAAATTCGGGGCGCGATTTATTGTCAAATATCTCCCCAACTACAGAACATAAACCCTCCAGATTTTGCACAGTGACTTGTATCAATTTGTCTTAACAGATCAATATTTTTGTAAAGACATGTTAGCTCTACTTTAGAAAATTCCTCTATAAATTAAATACTAATAAAAAATCCTAGTGGGTAGTTTCTACTGATTCAAAAAGGTTTACAGCTTGGACGATGTCGCTTCTAAAAGCAAGTCCCGTCATTGTTTTTTCTAATCTTGAGATTATCTTTATTGAACGCATGCTTTAAGAACGTTTATTGCCAAAAAGTGTTTGCTATAAAATTAATTTCTTATAACTAGTTTTGCCACTAAAAATCTCATTGGTGACCGGTAACATATTCAGCGTATACAAAATGTGTGTGAGAAGCGGGAAGTGCTGTGTACAATACCATTTTCCGCGTGAAGGAGTTTGGTAGTATTTTATATAAATTTAAGAGGAAACGTTTTTAATCTAACCTCAATTGTTGAGGAAAAATGGGATTAAGTTAAGACAAATTGAGACAAACTGCTGTGCAAAGTATGGGTGACATTGATTGACTCGTTATAAAGATATTTGAGGATAAGTTGCACCACGACTTTTTGACCACACTATAGTTTGTTCACTGTCTTCTAACGTAGCTAACAAAAACATTCTTGCTCATTTATTCATTTGACGATGGGCTCAAAACTGCATGAGAATCCCGTGGGCCAGTGACCAACATTTTTTCATATATCTTGACTAAGCAATTTTTTAAAAAGTTTATTCATTTGTTCTGTTATGTTCAACACTGTCCTTGGGAAGCATACACAGGATCCCTACAACAAATCATTTACAGTAACTTCGCTCACAAGTTGCTCATATTTTGAGGCAGCGACATCACCCTGCCCCTACAGTGCAGAAGAGAAAATTTGTCGCTTTTAAGCACTAGGGGGCTATCCCGAAAAATGCTGTTTTGAGAAAATCGAAGGTAAAGTTTTTGCCCCAGGTTCAGTTTCTCTATAAGTCAAGGAGAGTTTTCTCTATAACCAAAACAAATATACACACACCAATGAAACCAAAACTTCTCCTAATGGTAGGTCAATGCCCACTTTTGGTGTAGGTCAAGATTTCTGGAAACCCCCAAAATCTGGGTTGGCCCGCTTGTCCTTAAAAACTACCATTTCTCCAGCGAAGTAGAAGAGTTTGAAGAATTAAAGATCCCGATGACTTGTGGCTCCTGCTGTGGCCGATGAGATCAATTCTTGCAGAAAAAAGTTCACCACTTTTTGAACATTTAATTAAAGGCTCCACTTCATCTTGTGGATGTTCGCAGCGTCACACTGTCCCCGTGGTTTTATGCACCCCCGATTAATTTAGCAAAAAATTGATCATTTTTTGGTATTATTTCTTATTATTTTCCTTTATCATTCTTTGTTAAAATTAACAGAATCGCATAATTTCGGGGGCTCTCGTGGCCTAGAGGTTAAGGTATTGGCCTCTCATTCAAAGGTCCCGGGTTCGATTCCGGGTAGCGACCGAAACATTTTCTTCTCTAAAATTGTCTCCTTTCACATCCTTTCCTGATCTCTAACAATGTTCTGTTGTCTGCTTTCATTTCCACTTTCTGCCCCCACCCCCTCACCTCCTTTGCCCCCTCCCCTGGGCTCCTGACTCTTTCTGCAGCCTTTCTACTCCTACTCCTTGGCTCCTCCTAACTGCTGTCTTTCTGCCACACCCCTGATCTTCTGGTAGGAAAGATCTACACCTAGCCTTCTCGGACAAAGGCGAAAAATCTCGGAGGGCCCGTGTGCAAGTTGCGCACGTTAAAGATCCCTTGGTGGTCTAAACTCGATAAGAGTAGGCTTCGGCCGCCACCCGGGCAAAATTAAAAATTATTCTACCAACGAAAAAGTATTAGGTGTGTCCCGCGCGCTCATATGACCTTATGCAGTTGCGAGCGCCGTAAAACCCTATACTAAACAAACAAAACAAAGCATAATTTCATATTTTTGGGCTCAGTTTGCATAATTTCTGAATTTTTCTTGCTTAAAACGATGGGGACAGACATTTTGAACATTCAAAGGCTCCATTTTATCTTGTAGGTGTGCGCTGTGTTACAGAATTGTTCTACGTATTTTGATTTTTGGGAAAGGGGGGGAGCGAGTCTGGGGCGGTCTGAAAGAGATTTTCTGTCCTTGATGTG